GTGGGGGCGGGCGGGGCGGTAGGGGCAGAGGGAGAGGGAGAGAAGCAGATTCCCCGCTGAGCGCAGAGCCCCTACATGGCGCTCAATCCCATGAACCTGAGATCACGACCCTGAGATCATGATCACCACTTGAGTTGAAACCAAGAGTCAGACACTTAACCGACTGAGCCACCCTGGCGCCCTAACATTTCGGTATGTTATGATGAATGATTGCCATGGGAAAGAAGACGGGGCTGGAATGAGGTGTGGGGCTGTGGCCGGCAATTTTCCAGTGGTGGGACAGGTCTCACACGAGAAGGTGGTCTCTGAGCAGGGGCTTGGAGAGGCGAAGGACTCCCTGATGGGGACGTCCGGGAGGTGGGCTTCCAGGCGGCGTGGGCAGCCAGGGCAAAGGCCCTTGTGAGCAGAGGGTGGGGCGGAGGGTTAGACCTGGAAGTGCAAGGTTGGTCATTGGGAAAATTTTGCCTTTCGCTTGGAGGAGAAAGGGGTTCAAACATTTCTATCCCAGTTTTCTGACTTTTCTTTCCAGCGTCTTGTTCGGGTGTGTGTGTGTGTGTGTGTGTGCGTGTGCGTGCACACCTGAAGATCTAGAAAGAGTGGCACCTGGGCGTGGGCAGAGGCTCCTGGATTTCAAAACTGCCCTGTATCTTCCTCCCACTAACCTGCATCCAGGCTGGGGTGTGGCTCGTTTCACCCCCTTCGTTGCTTTTATGGCACAGCCCCAGCGCTGGGGACTCAGCTCCTCAAGCACAGAGCAAATTAGGGGTGAGAGGGCCCCCTGCCCACCCCGCCCCAGGGGTGCCGACTATCCATCTTGAATGGACATCAAAGCCTCCCAGTGGGAGAGGGAGAGTCAGGGGCTGGGACCCAGAGAGAGGGGGACTGAGAACCGGGAGCAGGCCGGGGTCCCAACAAATGTCACGTGCCCCCCTGGAGGAGCTGGGTCTCAGATCTCCGTCCCGGTCCCGGGCCCTCTCCCCCTGCTTCCCTCCCCCCCACAAACACACATGCACACACGCCTGACACAATGGCTGGGTGGGGCTGAGGAACTGGCTTCCTCTGTGGAGATCTCAATCTGGGCCCTCGGTTCCCGCCCCAGAAACACAGGAACAGACATTCGGAGACCTGGCCCCGCACTCCTCGCTCCAAGGGGTGGGCAGGACCCGCTGAAAGTAGAAACTGTTTCCAGAAAGATAAAGGTAAGTTCAGGGGGCACTATCGCAGAGTTAGGGGGGGCAGAATCCTGGAGGAGGGTGCCTTGGTGTGAAATAATGGACTGGCTCGCACCCAGGGGGACAGATTAGCAGCTAAAGGGACAGGCTATGGTGTGAGGTGCGGGACAGCGGGTCAGACACGCCGTGGGGGGACACACACACCATCCCACAGCTGACAGAGAGGTGTCTAGACGCCGGGGTCCTTCTGCCACCCCAGCCCTGTGCTCCTGCTACCCCGTGGTCACTGCAGCTCCCCCGAGACCCCAGTCTACACAGCAATGCGAACAGAACGTGTGCATACAGCGCAGTCCATGCTCGGGGCCTGAGGTTCGGCCTTTCCCTTGGGATCCTGGGTCCCTCACATCTTCCAGAGCCCTAGTGTGCGCATGTGGAGTGCGGTGTGGTTTGGGGGGGGGGGTGTCCGGTTGGGAGGAGGATCCCGATTCCCCGTTTCCTGCCCCTACTCACTCAGCTCTGGGAGGTGACAGAGGGGAGAGGACTGAAGGGTGAGTGCGTGGGGCCGAGCACCTGGGTCCCTGCGAGAGGCCCGAGTGGGTGGCGGGAAAGGAAGTAAACGCAAGTACCTGGGGGTGGGGGGGAGGGATCCCTGGGGGGGGCAAGGCTGGGGAGGAGCCGGCGGGGGGGCGAGTGAGGCCACAGGCCGGGCCACCTAAGGAACTTCCTGCCAGAACACAGAGGCCATTGAGCTCTAAGACTCGCAGTCTACCGCCCCCAGCCCCCACCCGGCATCATTTCTCCAGAACCCAGTCTGGGGCCTGCAGGGCTCTGAGTCTCCTGCCGACTCCTGTACGGAGTTTGGGGGCACCGCCCTGGCCCCGCAGCCTGCTCAGGATCGCCGCCGCCTGCTCGCAGGAGGAGGTGAAGCCCAGATGCGGGTGTCCTGGCCCCACTGGTCCTCACCTTCAGGCTGGTCTCCCGACCACCCACCAGGCCTCCTGGCGGGACCCAGGCCGCCCCTGGGGCCTCTCGGACCAGATTGGAGGTGGGGGGGGGTGGCAGGCAGGGATGGAGACGGGACAGGACAGACCATGCCCGGGGCCTCCTGGTCTCTTGGGGTCAAAGGCTCCAGGAATCTTCAGGGCAGGAAAAGGAGACTAAAAATAATCCGGAAAGGGAGAGTCCGGAGAGAGGAACTGGGAAATGGGGGGCGGAGGGCCGGCTGGAGCAGGGAAATAGTGATGCATCCCTCGCGGCTCCAGGCTCGCGCGGCGCGCCTGCGCACACGGCGGCCCAGGCGCCCCCCACCCCGGAGACGGCGCCCCGCACACGCGCCCCCGCGCCCCCCACCGCGCCCGCCGCACCCGCCCAGCAGCCTCCGCTCGCCCGCGCCTGTCCGCTCAGAGCGCTGCGCTCTCAGCACGTCTCCCCGCAGCCCTGCAAAAGGCAAACGCACACGCGCGCACACGCACACACATGCACGCACACAGAGCTCAGCAGCTAGACGCATCTGGCCCAGGACAAGCCCGGTGTCCCTTACATTTCCAGTTCCCCTTCCCCCGCACCCCCCCAACCTGGTTCTCCCGCTGGGCGCCCCCAAGCCCGGCTCACGGTCTGCTCTGGCCTGACTCTGGCAGCAGAAGCCGAAAGACAGAAATGCAGGCCGGGAGGCGAGGAGGGGTGAGCGGTGAGGACGGGAGACAGTGGAGATGAGAAAGAAGCCGAGGGAGGGCAGCAGCCTTCCCTCCTGGCCCTGACATCCTGCCCCTTTTGCTGGCCAAGAGTTTCTGCTCAGAGGCCTCAGTCTACCCACGGGGCTGGGGGGCACTAAGGGTCTCTTTCTCCCTCCCTCTTCCTCAGGGGATGACTCCAGCAGAGTACCCCACTCCTTTGAAGAGCCCAGAGGGAGATGTCAGCCCAGTCTCTTCCTGCAGCAACACCTCCTACCCAGAAACCCCCTCGGATCATCCGCCCCCGCCCCCCTTCTCGCCCCCGGGCTGCCCAGTCCCCAGGGCCCCACCACAACGGCTCTTCTCCACAAGAACCTGCCCTCACCTCCAATGATGCACCAACCCCAATGTGCGCCCCCATCCACTGGGACCCCCCTGCCTCCTCCCTCAAGCCCCCTGCCCTCCTGCCTCCCTCAGCTTCTAAAGCCAGCCTGGACTCCCAGACTTCCCCAGACTCGCCTTCCAGCACCCCCAGTCCCGCGTCCAGGCGCTCCGTCTCCCCAGAACCTGCTGCCCGGTCTCCAGTCCCCCCACCCAAACCTTCCGGGTCACACACTCTGCCCCTGCTCCCCACGCCTGGGGTCCCTGACCAGGGTGGTTCTGCCTCGGCCCCAGGCACTGTGAGGAGACTGGCTGGCAGGTTTGAATGGGGGACTGAAAGCAGGGTCCAGGCTGCGGAGGCCCTGGAGCCGAGTCCCCAAGGGGCAGTGGATGTGAACGGGGAGAGAGAGGCTCCACAGGGCAACCTTGCTGGGAGTGGGTCCCAGGAGAACGGCACTCCGGGTAAGTGCGTCGTGAAGCCCCGGGGGTGGGCTCCATCTCGCTCATCTTCTTGGTTCTCAGTGCTTTAAGACTGGGTGTTTTCAGAGGCTACGTTCTTAAAAATGGATTTCATGTTTGGAAAATCTGGTTTCCCTATTTGTTGGGGTCTGAAGACAGGCAGGCGGAGGAGATAGATGCTTGGGGCTGGACTGCCATGTCCCCCTGCTGGAAGGGTTCAGGGGAGGGAGGGGGCCTGGGCAGGGTGGGGCCAGGCCCCAGGGGCCTCCTCCTTAGGACACCCGTGTCTCCCACAGATGCTGCCCTCGCCTGCCCTCCTTGCTGCCCCTGTGTCTGCCACATAGGCCGGCCTGGCCTCGAGCTCCGCTGGGTGCCTGTGGGGGGCTATGAGGATGGCCCCAGGGTTTTCTGCCGCGCCTCCCCACTGAGGGCCTCCCGCTCCCGCCCCAGCCCTCCAAGCATCAGTCTCCCCCCAGTGGTCCTTACGTCCTACCGCTCCACAGCGGAGCGCAAACTCCTGCCGCCCCTCAAAGCCCCCAAACCAACTTGGGTCAGGCAGGACCCCACCATCTCTGGGGAACCCCCACAGCCAGATCTCGATCCTCCCTCCGAAGATGGAATCCAAGCAGGTACCAGGCTTGGGGGATCGGGCTTCTGGGCTGGGAAGGGGAGGGGTGGAGGTAGAGAGGACTAAAAGCCAACAGACTACCACCCCCAACAGGCCCTGGGGGCTTTGGGTTCCTCCATCAGTAGGCGTCTCTACTGGGGCTGGAGTCAGGAGTCCTGGGCTGGGGATCCTGGAGGTCTGTTCTCTTCATTCTGGGCAATCTCTCTCCAGGGGACAATCCTGATGAAGCTCCTCAGAACACTCCTCCGGCAACAATGGAGGGCAGGTACCAAAGCCCCAGACCCTTACTCCTACCCCACAGCAGACGAAGCATCAGCCCAGCTCAACCCCGCCTTCCCGAATGTAGGGTGAAGAACGCCTAGGGCTCCAGAGACAGGCAGCTCTGTCCCTTGCCAGCTGTGTGACCTTAGACAAGTCACTTCGGCTTTCCGGGTCTCAGTGTCCTCATCTGTGGGTGGGGGTAAGCACGCCAACTACCTCACTGAGCTGTTGAGTGTGATCTTGGTAAAGAGCCCGGCGAACGGCAGGTGCTCCCTTTGACTTCCCGCAGCTCGAACCTCCCTCTGTAGCCGCTCTCCACAAATCCATTTGGCACAGGGAACACCTCTTCTGTGTCATCTGGGCTTGTCAATCATTATAGATTCAGCACCCCTAGCGGAGCGAGGGCGGGCCCATTCGCTTATTGCTGGTGTGAATTTTCCTGGGTGTGTAGCTTGGTTGAGTGGGACAGAGAGGGAGGAGCGAGCTTGGGCTTGATCGCGCCGAGTATCCCCGAGGCACAAACAGGGCATCGCAGACAATGGCTCGTCCGTCCGTCCGTCCGTCCGTCCGTGAGGCTTGAGATCACAGCAGTGGACGGGGCCCACCCAGGAGCAGGCGCCTGAGTCATTTTGTCTGTGTGCTTTGGTCAGGGTCCCCGCATACAGCCTGCCTCCGGGTTGTGCACTCCTTTATACTAGCGTGTGAATAGCAACCCCCCCCCCCAGGTGTGTCACAGTGGTGGCTCTAGGGCACTCCATCCCTTTCCACAGGGACAAGGAGGGGCTGGAGGAGCTGAAGGAGCAGAACTGGGAGCTGCCCCTGCAGGATGGTGAGGGCCTCTGGACGTGGGGGGTCCCTGCTGTGACCAGCAAGCCCCAGGGGAACGGTCCTGGGGCGCTGGCCTTCCCTGATGTGCTCCGTCTGCCCCCCAGAGCCCCTGTACCAGAACTATCGAGCAGCTGTGCTGTCCGAGGAGCTCTGGGGTGTCAGCGAGGATGGGTGTCCCTCCCCCACAAATCCCGGCGAAGCTCCCACCTTCGCACGGCCCCCTGGGCCTCGCAACACACTGTGGCAGGAGCTTCCGGCCGTGCGAGCCAGTGGCCTCCTGGACACGCTAAGCCCCCAGGAGAGGCGCATGCAGGAGGTGGGCGTGTGGGGGGGGGCGGGGGCGGGCAGGGCTGGCGCAGGGGAGGGGGGTGGGACCTGGGTTCTGCGCCGGGTCGGGGAGCTGGGCTTTCCACTACGGCCCAGCTCTTCCTCCTCAGAGCCTGTTCGAGGTGGTGACATCCGAGGCCTCTTACCTGCGCTCCCTGCGGCTGCTGACGGACACCTTTGTGCTGAGCCAGGCTCTCCGGGACACGCTGACCCCCCGGGACCACCACACCCTCTTTTCTAATGTGCAGCGAGTTCAGGGAGTCAGCGAGCGGTCAGTGGGGCCCTGTCCTCGCAGCACACCCTTAGCTTCCTGCTTGTCCCAGGTCTTCCCTTCCTCGCGCCCAGTTCGCACCCAGCTCTTCGCAGGAACACCTGGGAGACCTGGCTCTCCGCCCCCCTCTTCAGGTTTCTAGGGGCGCTCCTGTCCCGCGTGCGCTCTTCCCCCCACATCAGCGACCTGTGTGACGTGGTGCACGACCACGCCGTGGGGCCCTTCTCGGTGTATGTGGATTATGTGCGGAACCAGCAATACCAGGAGGAGACTTACAGCCGCCTTATGTGAGTGCGCGGGAGGCGGGGCCGCGCGTCGGGGAGGAAGCTGGGGAGCAGGGTTGGGGTCCAGGGCCTCGAGGTGGACGGCTTCCGCAGGGACACGAACGTGCGCTTCTCGGCGGAGCTGCGGCGCCTCCAGAGCCTCCCGAAGTGCGAGCGGCTGCCCCTGCCGTCCTTCTTGCTGCTGCCTTTTCAGCGCATCACCCGGCTCCGCATGCTGCTGCAGGTGCCTGTGCTGGGCGGGGGGCGGGGGGGGGTGTCCTCTGCCCCCGCCCCGCCCTGTTGGGGAACGCCCGGCCTCCTCCCGGGGGCCTCCTGCCCCTGCTTCTCACTCCAAGCCTACCTGGAGCTAAGCAGACGTCTCAGGGAGCAGTCTGGGGCAGTCGAAAGCGCCCCCTGGCTAGAGACACGAGTTCTAGACTTAGCTCTGCCACGACCTGGCCGAGTGACCTTGGGCAGGTCCCCTCCTCTCCCTCAATCTCAGGGGGAATGTGGGGAGTGGTCTTTGGGCTCCCCCACTGAGTGCCTTCCCGGTGGGGGTGATGTCACTCACAAAGAGGCAAAAATTAGTTCTTTGGGGGTACTCCAGAGGGCTCACAGATAGACACGCAGCATATCTGTGCTATTAAAATGTCATGGTGGGTAGGACACTTAGGGAAAATGTGTCTAAAAAGGCTCCTTGGCGGACTGATAGGCAGAGTGGGGAGTGGGGGTGGGATCAGGTTGAGAAAGACTCTTCTGTGGCAAAGTAGAAACTTCTCCCTAAACCAGGTGACCCGATGTGGGTGACTTGGTGTGAGGAGTCCCCATCTAGATTATCAGCATTTTCTTTTTTTTTTTTTTAAGAGTATATTTTCTTTCTTCTTTTTTTTTTTTTTAGATTTTTTAAATTTATTTATTTGAGAGAGAGAGAATGAGAGAGAGCACATGAGAGGGGGGAGGGCCAGAGGGAGAAGCAGACTCCCTGCCGAGCAGGGAGCCCGATGCGGGACTCGATCCCGGGACTCCAGGATCATGACCTGAGCCGAAGGCAGTCGCTCAACCAACTGAGCCACCCAGGCGCCCTAGATTATCAGCATTTTCATATCCTGTTCAGCTTCATGCATCCAGTGTAGACAACCTAATAATCATAACACTGATCATAGCAGCTAAAGGGCTACTGAGTGCCCCGTCCTCGGCATGGTCCTAAGTGCTTTGTACCTGTCGAACCTTGCCAACAACTGTGGGTAGGAACTATTATTGGCCCCACTTTATAGATGGGGAAACCGAGGCACGGAGAGGCTATGTAACTTGCCCCAAGTCATGCGGATAATAATTGAGAGAGGCAAAATGTGAATCCGGGCACTCTTAACCGCTCTGCTATATTGTTCGCGCTAAGAGTTGTGGTTGATAATGGTTAAAACAATAGCAACCCTCTTATTTGCATTTACCACGTACCAAGGACTATGCGGAGCACTTTATGTCTACTTACCCCATTGAATCCTCACGACAGTGCTGTTGGTATGCTAGGTGGGTATTATCTCCATTTGACAGATGGGGAAAACTGAGGCTCAGGGAGGTAACTTGAGGTGCTCAGGGTTGTGCAGACAGTGAGTGGTGAGGTCTCTCTGCCTCGTTGAGGTTGGTTCCCCAGCCCTGTGAACCCAGACTAAGCATGTTGTCAAGCCAGGTGGGATCCTCTTAACTGAGGCCCCTCCTTGTCCCCAGAATATCCTGCGCCAGACGGAGGAGGGGTCCAGCCGCCAGGAGAATGCGCAGAAAGCCCTGGGTGCCGTCAGCAAGGTGGGCAGGAGGGATGCTGTGGTGTTGGGGTGGGGGGGGAGGGAAAGGGCCTGGGCGGTAGGGGTGCAAGGGAGTAGGGGTGGGTGACACGGCTCCCCTGACCCCAGATCATTGAGCGTTGCAGCGCTGAGGTGGGGCGCATGAAGCAGACCGAGGAGCTGATCCGGCTCACCCAGAGGCTGCGCTTTCACAAAGTCAAGGTTGGCCCCCTGTCCTGGCCCCCACCTTCCCTTCCCCCACCCCTGCCCCCTCCAAGCTGCAACAAGCCGGAACCTCCCCCTGCTCCCTCACAGGCCCTGCCCCTGGTGTCCTGGTCCAGGCGCCTGGAGTTGCAGGGGGAGCTGACCGAGTTAGGGTGCCGGAGGGGGGGTGTGCTCTTCACCTCGCGCCCCCGCTTCACCCCCCTCTGTCTGCTGCTCTTCAGTGACCTGTTGCTCATCACTCAGCCCAAGAGGTGGGTCCCAGGGAGGGAGGGCGCCCAGGCTGGGGTAGGGAGGAGGGGTCCAGCTGGATCCCTGTCCTCCCTCTGAACTGCCTCTTCCCTGGGCAGCGGGCAGCGGCTACAAGTTCTGGACTATGCCCATCGCTCCCTGGTCCAGGCCCAGCAGGTTCCGGACCCATCCGGACCCCCCACTTTCCGCCTCTCCCTTCTCAGCAACCACCAGGGCCGCCCCACCCACCGACTCCTGCAAGCTTCGTCCCTGTGAGTTGTGTCTCCTTCAGAAAACACCCCTGGGACCCTCACTCGGCTTCTCAGAGCCCAGCACCCTCCTCCTCCTCAATCTTCCTCCTCGGTAGCCCTTGTCTGTCCCTCAGAAGGCCCTCCTGGTTCAAACCTGACCCCTCCCTCTGTCCCCACCAGATCAGACATGCAACGCTGGCTGGGAGCCTTCCCGACCCCCGGCCCCCTTCCCTGCTCCCCGGATACCGTCTATGAGGACTGTGGTGAGTGTCCCCCAGAGGGGAGGAGGGAAGGAAATGCGAGGCTTCAGGGGCAGGTGGGGGAGAAGCTACAAAGAGTCTTGATCCCACCGCATGTCACTCACCCCCAACCAGACTGTTCCCAGGAACTGTGTTCAGAGCCTTCTGCACTGGCCAGGACGGAGGGACGAAGTCTGGAGTCCAGGGCTCCCCCCAAGCACCCACACAAGAGCCCCGAAGGTGAGAGATTCTTGTAGTTATTCATTCAGTGAATTTTTATTAAGCACCTCCGAGAGGCTGCTCGCCGCCCTAGGCCTTGTGAACAAAACACACAGAGATTCCTGCCCTGCTGGAATGCACGATCCAGTGGAGGAGAAATAATAAAGAATTAACAAGATATAAATAAGTAAATGATAGGGGGGCGCCTGACTGGAGCATCCGACTCTTGATCTCAGGGTCATGAGTTCGAGTCCCACTTTGGGTGCAGAGATTACTTAAAAAAAAAATAAATGCTACAACGTGTCTGAGGGTTGTAAGTGCTGTGAGCAAACAGAAGTGGAACAGAGTCAAGGAGGTCAGGAGTCCCAGGGTTAGGTAGGATTACAACTTAAAATCGGGAGGTCGAGGTGCCCCTCAATGAGGAGCCACCGTGTGAGCAGTGACTCGATAGAGGTGAAGAACTTAGGCACGTGGTGTCTGGGGGAAGAGTGTCGGAGAGCCCAGACAGGAGTCAGTGCAAAGGCCCTGTGGCCAGTGTGTTTGAGGAATGGTAAGGAAGCCAGTGTGGTAGAGGGCGTGAAAGAAGGGGAGAGGGGCAGATGAGGTCACAGAGGTAACGGGGACCAGACCATGGGGGTCCTCCTAGGTTCCCGTAAGAACTCCGGCTCTCCCTCTGAGTGAGATGAGTGGCCATTGCAGGGCTGGAGAGGAGGGACGCCCATCCTCTGTTGCTGCTGTGGCCTCCGCCTCTAATGTCGTTTCTCCTGACGCTCCAGGCTTCTCCACTAATCCCCACACTCACTGGGACCCTCGGGCATTAGACCCGTGGGACCTCCTTTCCTTCCTGACCTCTCCCCTGCCTTGGTTCCACTTGGGCTCCTGTCTCTCTTTCCCAGGCTGGCTGAAGGGGTTTCCTGGGGCCTTCCCGGCCCAGCTGGTGTGTGAAGTCACAGGGGAACACGAAAGGAGGAGGCACCTTCGCCAGCACCAGAGGCTCCTCGAGGCTGTTGGGCCCTCTTCAGGCTCCCCCAGTGCCCCCCCACCCTAGCGCAGGCTGGGACATCCGGCAGCTCAGCGCGGAGAGGACAAAGCTCATCCATCCATTGGATTCGCTGTCAGTGGAAACGCTACCTCTACCGGCAACCAATAGGGACCGAGCTTCAGGAGAAGGCAGCCAATGAGAACAAGGCCGTCGGAGCCCCCCCCCCCACGCCCTCCCCCGCGAAGGAGAATGAGGATGGCTTGAGTGGGTGGCCAATGGAGACAGAGGCCTGGTGCAGGGCAGCCAATGGGTGCTGAGCTGGCTGAGCCGCTGGCCAATGAGTATCCCTGCTCCGTTCACAGCCAAGGAAGACTAAGAAGCTAGGTCAATAAAGTTCTAAAAAGGGCTGCACTGGAGATAAAGTCCCAGGATAAAAGAGCCAACCGCAGTGAGCAGGGACATCCAGCCACAGAAGTTGGTGGTCTGGGCCCCAGAGACCCGTGGGGCCCCCCTTGGTTCTATAGCAATGACCCTCCTGCCTTTTGAGTGTGGGAAGCGCTAGATTCCGTTCCTGGGGTGCCTTCTCTGCCCTCTCAAGCCCCTTCCTCTCTTCTAGAAGAATCCAGAGTGTGTGTCTCAGAGAATCGGTGCGTGTGTCCCTAGGTCTCTGCATGTATCAGGGAAGGGGGTCCTGCTGAACGTGCTGTGTGTGTGGTCCTGCCCCCTCCCGGGTGACTGAGCACTCCATTTCTTCCCTCACCCCCTGCTTTTCCTATTATTCTCTCCAAGAAGACAGGAGGTCTGAGCTCCAGCGGACATGATGTGTTGGGTGTGGCTTGGCAGCCAGAGGCCAGAGTGGCGGAAGAGAAGCCTGAGTTCTGGGCCAGGGGTCCATGGCAGCTGGAGGGTGATGCTGGGGATCAGCCAGACAGCCTGGTAGAGGGGCCCGAGGGACTAAAGATGGCCAGTGGCCGTGGCCTGAAGCCCCCTGAAGCTTCCTTGCCCCAACCTTGGCCTCCAACCTGAACTGTAACCGGTCATTCATCCGGCCTCAGCTTCGGGCTTCACACCGGCTCTGCGCCCCAGGTTTGGGGGAGGAAACAGGAGCTGTGGATCGCGGGCCGGCCGGGGAGCCTCTCCGGCTTTCCGGGCTTCATCCTGGACCTCCCGCGGCAACACTGGGCCAGCTGGTGGGGAGGGAACAAAGAGCCAGTGCTCTTCCAGAGAAGAAAGTGCCCGGTGGGATACCAGAAGGAGGTGAGGGATGGAGCCGGAGCAGAGCAGACAGTTGCTGGTGACCGAGGGCCTAGGCCTGACACCAGGCCTTCCCTGAGCTGGGCCCGTCACACTGTCCCTTCAGCTCACGTGTGGCAGCTGGCCCAGGAAAGCAACTGCACACCAGCCACGGGAGGTGCAAGGACTCTGGGAGGCCGGGAGGGAGAAAGGGACTAGCCTTTGGCCACCCAGGACTTCGCACAGTGCCTGGCGTATGAGAAACCCTCAATAAATGTTGGTGGACCTGTACTGAGGGGAGTGCGTGCTGAAAGGAAGAGTAATTTCCAAATGTGGCTTTGTAAGGTGGTGGGGCCGCTTGGAAAGCGGTTCTTTGAGAGCGAGTGTCAGTTGGGCTGGGACCGGGGCTTGGAGACTGGGAGCATGGCCCGAGTGTGTTGGCCCATTCCTAGTTCCCGAGGGATCCAGGGGTCTAGGTGGTGGCGGGTCTGCAGAGGCTGGAGCAGCGTGTTCCTGTGGGCGGGGGAGGAGGACAGGGCCAGGGCCAGGTATGGCTGACGCTCCAGCAGGGGACGAAGCTCTGAGCGAGAAGGACCGAAAGGACAGTCAGGCAACAGTAAATGTCCTTTACTGACCAGCCAAGCATCTCTGTTCAATGCAATTCAATTCTACACCTGTTTATCGAGTGCCATCTAGGCGCTGGGCACTGTTCTAGGACATGGGGATGCCGAGATGAAAAAGACAAGGGTCTTGCCCTCGAGGAGCCTTCATTCTGGGAATGATGAGAAGGATGCAACCCTGGGAAGATCTGGGCAAAGCCTTGTAGGGGTGGCAACAGGGGGACTGAAGTCCAGGAAGAGGAGATAGTGGTCATGGGAGGGAGCTGGAGATCTCTTCAATTTTCCTGGTGGGGGGGCGCCCCTCCCGGCCCCCACTATGCTCCCCTCTTCCTCTGAGATCCTGAGAGAGACAGACAGGTGCAAAGGATGACCCAAAGCTACACAGGTGCCCTCTACACATTCCCTCCCGGCTCCTCCCCCCCTCCCCCGTTCCTGCCCCTAAGGATGCCTCCATTCTTCAGTTCAGAAGTCCTGATGCCGGGATAACGGGGAGATGGAGAGCAGACAAGAGTCGTTCTGGGGACATAAAGACACATAAAACGCAGCCACATGTCCGCAAAGGGACAGAAAAGGCAGGGAGGGAAGGGGGCTGTTATGTTTCTGTTACCTTAGAGGCTTCTTTCCATTCGGGGGTGACCTGGGTGTGTCTGGGCAGTCCTGGAGGGGTCTGCCTTCTGCAGGCTGGGGGAGGGGACGGCGGGGCACGCAGCATTGCCATAGGGGGAAGGGGTGAAGGCAGGAATGACGACCACTGTGCACGTGCACGTGGAGAGAGTGGATGGGGGAAGGAATGGGGCCGGGGAAGGAAGACAGAGGAGGTGGAAGAGGGGGTACCGCGGCGGTGAGGGTAGTAGGTACAAATGTCCCATTACCCCATTCCTTCACATTCTGTCATGCCGGGGGGGATGGAAGAAACAAATATTGTCACAGGTGCAGGAGAGGACAGAGTGGGGAAGATGGGGCCCCTGCTGGGAGTCTCTCTCCGGAGAGTCAGTAAGCCCTTTCTCCACCTACAGCCCTGGCCCTCATGTTTGTGGCCTCCGTGTTCGGGGAGTGGACGATCAGGAAGATAGGACAGGGCACGGACGGGTCTTTGGGCTGGCCCTTCTATGGCCTCTGGGTCAACACCGTCGTGGCGGATGGGGGTATAGCCATGACCATAAGCAACAGGTGGATGAGAGGAGCTGTCCCCCTTTCTCCCCACAGCCTGCTCGCTAGCTCTCCCCGCTCTCCTGGCCCCGCTGGGCCCTCCCACCTCCCTGGGATCCTTTCCAGAGCCCTTCAGCCTGGCTCTCTGTCCATGTCTCTCTCTCTCCTCCCTCCTCCTTCGCAGGGTTCCCTCTCTTCAGGTACAGGGGTATGTGATGGTGATGGTTCCTGCTATCAGGGTTGGCCAGTTCACCAGGCAGGAGGACGTGTCCTCCGACCCCTCCTCCGCGGGTCTGGCGAACCCCTGACCTCGCCCTCCAGCACGCCCAGTTTGGATTGGGACTCCCCACCCAGCGGCCTCAGAGCGCCTCTGGCCAGGCCTAGGGAGCGCAGAGGGGAAGAACTCGTCCTTCGACTGCGCCCCGAAGGCCCGCACCCTCGGGGGGCGTGGCCGGGCCCCGCGGGGCTCCGAGCTCAGGGATTGGCCCCGCCCCCGCCAGGCCCCGCCCCTCCGCGCCCGGCTCCGCCCCGCTCTCCGCGAGGACCCGCGCCTGCGGCGCTAGGAGGGCTTCCCGCCTCGGGGTCCTGTCGCATCCTGCGGCAGGGCTCCGGCTCCGGGTTCGCGGCGCCCGCCTCCCGAGCGAGGCAGGGCCTGGGGGGTGGCCCGCCCCCGCCGAGGAGCCCCTGAGAGGTTGAGGCGCAGGCTGCTCCCCGGACTCCCGGGCCGTCGCCACCGACCGCCCCGCTCGCTCCATCTCCCACTGTGGTTCTGGGCCTTGGCAGAAGCTCGACCTAGCAGCTCCTCCTTCATCACGATCGAGCTCTTGGGCGTGGCTCTCTGCCCCACTCTTCCTTCTGCGAAGAACCAACGGAAATCTTGATGGGAATTAAGCAGCTCGCCCTCCGGAGGGCACGGAAGTCACCTTTTTTCTATTTGTAAAATATAATCTTTTTTTCTGCTCCTTTTAAAAACTATATTTTATATATGTATATATATGTAAATATATAATATGTAAAATATAATATATAAAATATATATTGCAGTTTTCTTATTTATTTATTTAAATTTTAATTCCATTTTAGTTAACATACAGTGTCAGTTTCAGGTGTACAAGACAGTGATTCAACACGTCTATACATTATTAGGGTATATTTTTAAGGTACAAATCACATACAGAGAAATTCGCCCTTTTCAGTGTAAAGTTCAGAGATTTTTGACAAATGTATATAGTCATGTAACTACCACCACAACTGAGAAATGAAAGACTTCCATCACCCCTGTAAATTCCCCTGTGCCCCTTTGTGGTGAACCTCTTCCTCAATTCCAGCCTCTGGCAACCCCTGATCTGTTTTCTGTCCCTTGTAGTTTTGCCTTTTCTATAATGTCATATAAATGGAATCGTACAATAGGTAGCCTTTCAAGTCTGGCTTCTTCCGCTTAACTTAATGTATTTGGGATTCATCCATGTACTTATTATTATTATTATTTTTTAAAGATTTTATTTATTTATTTGACAGAGAGAGACACAGTGAGAGAGGGAACACAAGCAGGGGGAGTGGGAGAGGGAGAAGCAGGCT